ATCGGAGGCGATATAGAAGCGCGACAGGTCGGCGAACTGATGCGTGATAAACGGTAGAAATCATAAGTCAATCATAGAATACAGGAATGCAAACCGATCTACCGCTTAGTAACACAAGTATAACTCTGGACGCACTCACTTTAGATACTATCTCATGTTTAGTTTTAAGCAATATTTAAATACAACAATTATACGTTAACAAACAATCGTTAATATTCGTCTATAAAGTATTTTAAATTTGCTAAAACATTATTAAAGAAGTTGTTATACCAATATATGATCACTATTAATTGTTAAATAAGCCGATTTAAGTTACATAATTGTTATTTAATATATTTTTATAATTTGAAGAACCAAGCCTGTGCAGTTTCCTATTTAAAATATTTAATATAAAAGATAGTTTGGAAACCGGTTTGCATCCCTGACTAAAAATACAATAGAAAGTGTAAAAACAGAGCGTTGGATCAAGTGGGTATTTTTAGGAGTCTGGGAAGGGGAGGCCAGGATTCTTAGGCTATCTCGGAAAGCTAGCTGAACTCCATTCTCACTCACCTGCGGGGTGAAGGCGAATATGCGATCCTTCAGAGAGTACAGCTTGCTGGTGCTGAGGATGCCCACGTCCCGGGATTTTCTGCCGCTCAATCCTAGCTTCCGGTTGCGTCCGAGGTACGTGTACAGGTGACTAAGGACGCGGGCTGGCTGCACCTCGATGGGCGCCACCTCGGCGATCGTTTGCACGTGCAGATCGTGCTCGGCCAACTTGTCCCGGATCTCGTTGTCCTCGGCGATGATGACCACCTGGACGACCACGTCCGGCTTTTTCTGCGCCCCCAGCCGACGATTCAGAGGATCCAACTCGCCGACTGCCAGGAAACCCTGAGAAATAAGAGAAAATAAAGTTACGGACATAAAATCGTAGCACTTATAAATAGTAAATCAGTGATCCAAATGTAAGATTAGCCGGAAATTACAAAGGAAAGCTATTTACATTTTTAAAAATTAAATTAATTTCAATTTAATAAATAATTAATGTATATAACATTTAAAAATTTGTAACATGATATTATGGAACCCTTAAGTTCTACACATTATAAGTAAAACTTGTTCTACAGATGTACCCGCAGTTGTATAAACAAATAGACAAAACTAGATCGATATAAATACTTTACAGGGTCGCCAGCGCGTTCAGCTATCTTTAGAAAACAAGCGAAAATGTAACAAACGAATGCTCACCTCCTGCAGCAACCTTCCGAGGATGAACAGGGACTGGCCCCACAGGAAAGGACACCGACCGACCACTTCGCGGAGCTGGGATCCCGGCTTCTGGTACTCGAAGCCAACCAGATCCTGCGGCACCGCATAGCTCTCCGGAATGAGGAGGATGCCGTCCTCCGAGCGCACCATGATCTTCTCCAGCCGGCTGGCGTACTCCTCTACCGAACGCTTGTCGTTCTGAAAGGCGTGGAACAGGATCAGGTAGCAGTAGAAGAGCGGCCACTCGCACTCGATGTTCTCGAACATGCGCAGCTCCCAGCGTTCGTAGTAGAGTCTGGACGGATCCTCCTTCGGAGTGCGGTAGCCGTCGCGCAGGAATCTCTTGCAGCCGTACTTGCCCTGCAATCGGGACAAAATCGCGTCCTTCGTGTTGTGGATCAGCTGGGCATCGTCCACGGCAAAGGCGGGGAAGCCGATGACGCACAGCAATCCGGAATCCAATTCCTTGCTGTTGGACTCGCGGGGCAGCATCGACTGGAGCACCGCCTGGCACTTGTGGGCCTCGTCGGCCAGCACATGGATCACACTGGCTGGCCCGCCGCGGGCTCCGAAGAGATCCAGCTCGTTCATGGCCTCCAGCGCCGCCTTGGCCATGCCAATTGAACTGGCATTCAGCTCCGGTTCACCTGGAATACGAAAATACATACATTTTTTAATTGATCAAATTATAAAATATACTTTTTTAGATGGATTTAATTATCTGATTTTAGTTTTTTACTTAATTGTTTCGTTTATATAAAAATGTTGATTAAAAGCTTTCATATTATTCCAATAAAATGCGGTGCCAATTACGATTGGAAAGATAAGATAGTGAATAAAAGATTTAACAAATAAATTGGCCACCCAGATTCAATTTAGTGTGCCTGTTTATCTTTCTTTTGCATATTATTTAATTCAAAAAATGTATATTAATAATGTTTCGTTTATCTAAAAATGTTTTTGATTAATGCAAACAAAAAAAAATAAAGATAAGATACGAAAAACGATTCATTTAAACGAATTAAACGGATCGTTTTTGGGCTTTGCCTTGCAGTTGATTTTATGTTTTCCTATTGTTTTTATTTTCCTGTTTTGTGGGTAGCCAGTTGCCAGACCCAAAACGGTATACTTACCATGATTGGTCTTATCGCCACGCTCCCAAATCCCATAGTCAGGGATCGAGTAGGCCGACTCAATGTAGAAGACCAGATTCTGGATGAACGAGACCTCGTCCAGGGAGAAGACGATCTGCAGACCCGAGGCCGTCATCTGGGCCAGGATCAGTAGGTACAGCGAGACGGCATCGATCTGCAGATGGCCCCACTCATTGTCCCCCACCACGGGCAAGCCGTTCTTGCTCGAGTATTTGGCGTGCAGGGAATCGTAGGGACTCTGGGTCATCTTGAACTTCTCCACCTTGTCCTTCTGGTTCATCATGGCCATCAGCAGGCCGCGCATGAGCTTCACACAGCTCTGCTCCAGCTCGTAACACTTGGCCCGATCCTCGTCCTGGTCGGCAATCTTCTTGTACGCCATGGACAGGCCCCAGACGGCCAGGATGCAGTACACATTGTCCCTGATCCAGGCGTGCGAGTTCACATTGGAGGCGGGAAAGAGGCCGGTAACCGGTTCCTGGTGCGCTAGGATCAGCCGATGGACGATGCGCTGGTAGTAGTCCAAACGGACGCCCGAATTGCTGCGTGAACGCATAGTCGATTCGAATGTGGATCCTCTTCCGGTCGGTTTTCTAAAAGAAAAAGGTAACATTACAAATGTTTAAAACTGAATGTATCTTGTAATATGTATGTTTTATAGAAATAACTCTATTGGGATAATTGTTTACAAAAGTTCATAAGGGATTAAGGAAGTTTATATAAGTTTGGTAAACATTGTATACATATACAAAAACCTTTATATCCCATATCTGACTTGCAAATAACAAAAGCATCCATATTTTGTAGTACCTATTTAAAGAGTCTTAAATTCTTCAAGATACCACAACAGATGCCATATGATTCGCTTGTTTTCTATCACATTCGGTTAGAGTTTATTTTGGTTCTAGGAAGGTCAGTTAAGTGTGGTTCAAATCCGACCACTATTTTCTATGGGGGATATTGTTTCTCGCCTGGATTGGCAAAGATGTGATTGTTGTTTACTCTCCACGGCGCGGGCACGCTCAACTTACATAATGTCGGTGCGGATCGGATCAGATCGGATCGTTTGTTGTGGTTCAGTAGAGTGGAGGAGAGGAGGCGGATTCCCACAGCTCCTCGGAACACCTCGCACGCTAGAACCCGTTGAATCCGTGGAATTCGCCGCGAGGACAGCTCATTCTCTCCGGGATTTGGCGGATGGAGTGGTGCACTGCTCCCGTGCGAGTTTAGGAGCTTTGCTGAGCACTTGTTTGCGGATAATTCGAATTATATTATAATTAAACTAAAGCAAAAGTCAACTCAATGTCACCCAGTGTGACCAACGGATGTGCGGACAAAGTTGCTGTCATGAAAATACTAACGGAAAGGGAATAAAACTATAAAATATACGATCAGAATTTATTTATTTTTATTTATTTTTTAAAACTAAGCCATGTATTTTATTGTGGCAATTAAATTCTTAGGTGTACTTAGAGAAAAAGTTATCTGAAAACTAATTTACGCAAGATGTAAATAAATTGATTATTGTTGAACTTATTTAGTTATGCAAAATACAGAGAAGGGTAAACCCCCTCTTAAGTAAATTACAAACTGGGTTCATTTTTTTGAAACTGTTTGTTTTTTTCAAAAGTTTCAGGATATACTATTAATTGTTATAATTTCAAAGCTGTCTACATCTTAATTATTTAAAATACAATAAATACAAATTTTACTATTACATTAAAAAAATGGCTTGAAAATAAATGAAATCCCGATAACTAAACAAATTTTATGACTTTGATAGCTAGCTTGCGGGTTATTTTGTTTTAAATATTAAATGAATTAACTTAACTTATTTTTTTAATTGTGCAATTTAAAATACTAAAAAAGAACAGGGGGATAAACACTTTCAAGTGATGGTCACTTTGCCAATCTAATATTTCGCGCCAAAAGCAAATACAAATTTATTCAACGAATGTTTTGCTCCTCGAAAAATAATTCTATATGTTATAACGATGAAAATTACAAAGTTTTCCAAAGAAATGAACAGCGATTTCTTATAGATAGAAGTTATTCAGTATAACAAAAATAGTATCTTTGAAAAAATTATGGAAAGTATTGAGTATACCAAAATTATTATCTTCGAATGAAAACGATTTTATATTACTTTTATCCTAGCTCATATAAACGTATTCACTAGTAATAAGCCGGAACCGCAAATGCATAATACTCGTCGTAAATAAAATTTAAAAACCGTCGTCGGAGAATCCCGGAGTCATGAAAATGTCTCTCGCAGTTCAAAGATTTCGAAGACTTCGATTCGAACTGCACTGCAAAATCCGGTCTTAATCCAGTTCTCTCATCCGGAAATTGGAAACTTTAAAATTTTCTCTCGCCTCAGATCGAGATTTTGATTCAGACTTAGAGCTATGGCTCTCCGATCTGTTGGCTTGTCTTCTCCTGGTATTATTTCCAAGCCACTTTTTACTTAAAGTAGTGCTCTCTGCATCTAACACAGACTTAAAGCTATGGACTTACGATCTGGTTGCTTAGTTATCTCCTAGAATAATAAGTAAGTTTTTAATCAAAGTACGCTCTCAGCATCTGAAAGCATTAGTTTGTGAAAATCCATTGCATTGATTCAGACCTTAAGCTATGGCGCTCCGATCGGTTGACTTAGTTTGCTCCTAGTCACTTTACACTTGAGGTAGTGCTCTCCGCTTCTGAATAGTATCAGTTTCTGAAAAGCCATTGCATTGATTGAGACTCAAAGCTATGGCTTTCCGATCGGCTGCACTAGCATTGTATCTCTGCGGAGTATTATTATCCAGCTGTTGGGCAAGTAAGTGTTATTACAATTTTTAAAAGTGTTCAAAAATCATACTTTAAAATATATTATTTTTTTCAAATAGTGAAAGCCATTTTTACTGTCATCATTCAGGAAAATGATATATGTATTAACATACCGGGAAATCAAAAACTGGTTTTCGATGTGAATTTATTAAAACAAAATCCAGTTTATATGAGATAAACATGTGCATGGATAAATTAAACATTTCCTCTTAGTTCTCTTTGTTTGATAAAGGGTCTATATTACAGGATTTGTTTTAATTTAGGATGGTTATATATATAGTAATGAGTCCTTCCTATTTGAATTCGTTTCAGAACCTAGGTTGCACTTTGGCTATTGTGGTGAATCTGGAACAGGTCAGTGTCGACCTATCGAGGATTGCCTGATGGAGGCGGGCTTCGTCGCAGCCAAGGATTCGTCGGAGTGCTTCAATGTGGTTTGCTGCGAGAAGAGGGAATACCCGCAATTGGTGGAGAATTACTGCCACCACGATCTGAGGCCCCACATTTCCAATGGCCAGAACACCAAAAGCCGCGAATTCCCCTGGATGGCCATGTTGCTGTACGGAGACCACCTGGAGCCGAAGTGCGGGGGCAGCCTGGTCAGCAATAAGTGGGTAGTGACTGCAGCCCATTGTGTGCGGCGCCAGAATTCCGAGAAGCAACTGCGTCTCGTCCGTCTGGGAGTGTGGGATATCCGGCAGGCGGAAGATTGCCGTGGGCCGGACTGCACGCCGCCGCCGCAGGACTTTGCCATCGAAAGGCCCATTGTCCACGAAATGTACAAGCCCACTGAGATCACGGGGAGCAGTCTGCAGAAGCACACCAACGACATTGCCTTACTCTATCTTGACAGGGTCGTCACCTTTACGGAGTTCATCCAGCCCATCTGTCTGCCTCCGCTCTACAATCCTACCCGGATCGGTGTCTATGCGCACTACAACCTGACCATCGCCGGATGGGGTCGTACCAGCGAGGAGTCCGATGACATCAGTCCCGTGAAGATCAAGGCTCAGGTCAACGCCTGGTCCCCGGAGAGCTGCCAGAGGCGCTATGAGGATGTGAACCTTGGCCAGATGTGCGCCGGGGGCGGGGCCGACAGGAAGGGCAGCTGCTTCGGCGACTCTGGCGGTCCGGTGATGGACGACAACCTGCTGGTGGGCATCGTCTCACTGGGGGAGCCCAAGTGCGGATCCGACCGAGGACCCATGGTCATCACGCGAGTGGACTCCTATGTGGAATGGCTGGAGTACCACTTGTTTGGTCGTAAAATCACCAGGAGAATAGTCATTTCAAGACCAAAAAGATACGCATCAAATAATTTGTATAAATTAGGAGATTAATAAATGTTTTTTTTATACAATAATCATTTAATAATGATATTAATTTGGAAAAGAAATTAAAACTATATTGGCGCGGCACACAATAAACTTAAAGACGCCACCTGGTGACAAGGTTTTAAAACATGCTGGCCTGACGTCATTGACATTGTTATGTCGTTCGGACCTTAGTTTCGTAAAAACTTCTGAAATAATTGTTTAGTTTGTAAAATATTCGGTCTGTCGATAGGAATCGGCAGAATAAATCTAAATCTCTTTCATAAAAAATGTGGGTGCTACATAGTTATTCGGCTCATAGGCGTTACTTTTAATCCCAATTCTCTAGCTTTTATATTCCCCAAAACACCCACACGATCGGCAGAACATCGCCTCGGATAATAATCCTTATCATTCCTTTTTTAAATCATGTATTAAAGAACCAATCTATTTAGGGTGCATGGAAAAATTGAAGAAAGATACAAAACTGGTACCATAAACCAAAATAAAAGTCCCATTTCGACTTAAAATTTTTTAAAGGAATTCTTGAAAAGTGGTTTGACTTAAAAATTAGGGGCCCCATATTTAGTCAATTGATAATGTTACTACTGTCTTCTGAGTATATTAATACAATGAGAGCGAGTTAAGCCAATACGTCATAATAAAAAACCCCATCCATTGAGCAGCTTTTAGACATAACATGCCTCACATGGAGGTAGCTTGGTATGAAATGCGGAGGGGCACATAAATTTAAAATTATCAAATTTCATTTTCATTTTATATGAAAGTTAAATGTTTCTAAAAAAATCTACTTACATATACATATAACAAAAATTAGGTAAAAAGATTATCCTATTAAATTATTAGTCAGTAAGACTAATTGGTTTAGTAACGGTACTTAAATGAATTAAACATTATCAAAAAATAGTTTAATAGTTTTATTGACCCGACAATGGAAGTGATTCTCTATTTTATTTTCATTAATGAAAATTGTGTGAGCTTCCTCCATCCCTCTACATATAGACTACGGTCTTCATAAATAATTTGTATACATTTACGACAATCTCTCTCACTATCTTTATAATCAGGTTTTTCAACTAGAACTATATAATGTGGGAACTTGGATCTTACACTCGGGAAATGTGCTCTCCTCTTCTGAATGCCGATAGTTCATTGGAGTGATTAGTTTCAAAGCTATGGTTTCCCGATCCGGTGCCTTCGCCTTGCACCTCTGTGGAGTGTTATTAGCAAGCAGTTGGGCAAGTAAGTTTAAGATTTTTTTTCGGAAAATCCATGAGCAGAACAAATTAAAAAACAAAATAGCTTAAATGATATTATTTATAACAGAGCCCAGGCTGCACTTTGGCATCTGTCATGCGCTCGAGAAAGGCCAGTGCCGACCAAAAGAAGAGTGCTTGGAGCAGGACGGATTCGTCCAGGCCATTGATTCGTCCCAGGAGTGCTTTGAAAAGGTATGCTGCATAAGGAACCAGCTGGCATACCAGCAAACGAAAGGCGATTACTGCAACAATTACCTGAGACCCCATATTGCCAATGGGGAGGCTGCCAAAATCCGGGAATTCCCCTGGATGGCCATGCTGCTGTACGGAGACCACATGCTACCCCAGTGCGAGGGCTCCCTGGTCGGGGATAAGTGGGTCGTAACCGCGGCCCATTGTGTGCCACGCGAGAATCACGAGGAGCAACTGCGTCGCGTTCGTCTGGGAGTGTGGGATGTCCGGCAGACAGAGGATTGCCGTGGGCCGGACTGCACGCCGCCGCCGCAGGACTTCCAAATAGAACGGGCCATAGTGCACGAGATGTACCGGCCCACAGAGAACACGGGGTCCAACCTGGTGAAGTACTCCAACGACATTGCCTTGCTGCTTCTCGGCCGAATCGTTACCTACACGGACTTCATCCAGCCCATCTGTCTGCCTAGGGTTTTCAATTCCTCCCGAAGTGATGTTTATGCGGACTACAACCTGACCATCGCCGGATGGGGTCGCACTAGCGACGCTTCACCTGCCACCAGTCCCGTGAAGATCAAGGCCCAAGTCAGTGGCTGGTCCACGGACAGCTGTAAGAGGCTTTATCAGGAAGTGAGTCATGGGCAGATGTGCGCCGGAGGCGGCGCCACCAGGAAGGGCAGCTGCTTCGGCGACTCCGGCGGTCCAGTGATGGACGGCAACGAGCTAGTGGGCATCATCTCGCTGGGTGCGTCTACATGCGGATCCGATCACAAACCGATGGTCGTCACGCGGGTTGATACCTTTATGGTGTGGCTGGCGGAGCACATGATGTTCTCACCGCGGCGTTACTTATAATCAAAATAGTTAAAATAATAACGTAAGACATAGAGCTAAGTGCAACCATTGAAAACATTAGTAGTACCCTTAACGAAGGCAATAATTCGATTCTTTTTTATGTCAAGATCCTGTGATTATTATTGAAATTCTCGCCAAGTTTTTGGAGTAGTTAAAAAAGTTTGTTTGGTTGGAGGATGATAATGGTGTTCATAATGATGATGATGCAACGATGATTGGTGATCTTCACGCTAAAGCTTTTATCTAATCGCGCCTGCTGCGCTTGCGATCCGAATGGCTGCTGCGCTCGTTGTTCTTTTCCTCGGCTCGCTTGGGCGCCTTTTTGGCCATGTTCAAGAACTGATCCAGACCGAAGGGATCCTCCTCCTTTTCAAACTCGACGGGTCCGCTCCTCTGACCAGCGGCCGCATCCCTTGAAGCACCCGAAAATTGCTTGTCCGGCACGAAACGCTTTGTATTTACAATGGCATCCAGATCACCGCCGTAGTTATCGCTATCCGCCTGCTTGCTGGGTCGGTAGATGTGGGCGCCCAGTGTGTTTGAATCGCGCCAGGGCTTGTCGTACACATTGTAAGCCTCGTCGTCGCCGTAACCGGAGTCCATGCCCTTGGTGGTGTTGAAGAGACGCTGATCGAAGAGTGCTTCGCCATTGCCCGCACTCTTGGCAGGCAAGCCCAGGGCAATTTGTTCGGAGATGTCACGCTCCCGCTCCCTCTGCAGTTTCGAGCGCTTTTCCGGAGCCGCCCGCTGCAAATTTCTGTCCCGCTGCCGTTCCCTTTGCCGCTCCGCTCGTAAATCGTTGCGTTCACGCGCCTCAGCTCCTCCGCCTCCCGATGGGCCCGATGGCTCGGCTGCCTCTGGATTGCGTAGGCCCGCTCGCTCCTCACGAGCCCGCTGCGCCATCATGCGCAACATATCCTCCTTCTTTTCCTTCTCTTTCTGGGCCAGCTTCTTCTCCAGCTGGGCGCGAGCCTCCACCGCCTCGCGGGCCTTGCGATCGGCTATGTACAGTGCCTCGGCCATCTTAGCGAACTTTTCGTTGATGTGCACCTGCTGCAGACCACGTCCATCGGCTGCCAGACGCTTGTCCAGGGGAATGGTGTAACCTGAGAGTAGTGAACGAGGCGAATTAGTGGGTAAAGCAAACCATCTTAAAATATGTATGTCATAAATCGTATGCAACTACCAAGTACCAACAAAGGCAGTCCGAAACCCCACTCACCTTTGGCGTTCTTCCAGTTGGATATGCACGGCGGGATCTTCCACTCCTTCTGCTCCTTGACCGTCACCTTGCGCGACGGCGAGTGGAGAACAGGCGCTGGTGGCGACGGGGGTCCCCGTGGAATCTTCTTGTTGATGCGGAACTTGGGCGGCTCCATCGGATCGAGCTGCGCCTCCACCATGCGTATGACCCGCTGCTTGGCGCCCGAATTGAAGGCATCGCCCTGCTGTGAGGGCGTGTACCGGATGTACTGGGCGGGTCCCGCCTTCTGAGCGTGGCGCACGGGCAGCGCCGAGGTGATCTTTTGATTGGTCAGCTTCTCTAGCGCCAGGCGCGTCTCCTCCGTTGTCTCCAGCACCGATTCCTCGTCCGGTCGCTGCAGTTCCTCAGCATCTTCGGCCAAAACCTCTGCCGGCAGCAGCTGCGAGATGGACGAGTATACAACCTTATCCTTGCCATGTCCTTGGCGCGCTATGGCATCGTATTTGACCTTTCCCTTGTCGTCCAGGCGAACGGCCAGGGCATCCGATTTCTTGCCCACATTTCCGGGCGCTCCCAAACCTGACAAGAAAAATTGGAAATTAGAATTTTAACTAAGCTAGTGGATAAATTAAATATTAAAGCTGATATTTGTTGTTTTAATTTAATGTTGTTAATAAAATATAATTGAATACCCTAGTTTTTATGAAAACCTGGCACCCACTCTAAATTTTAATACATTTTGATTGGAGGTATTGAATCTGAATACTATATAATTTATGAAGTTAACTGTCTTATTTGGTTTGCACTGAAAATCCGATTGGTGATCAGCAATATACTATGTACATATATGCTTCATAACGGTAATAGGGTCTTCCTGAAGCAATGCTAACTTATTTTGGATCGTTCCTTTTTAAGCAATTGAAAATTGGTTTAGCTAATGATCTTGAAAAGCCATTTTCTGCATAGACTTCTGCATATATAATTAGTGATAAGATAAAATTTCTGTCCAACTCATATCCCTTGGGAAAGGCTTAACCAAAATGTCATAAAAAACTGAGGCGTGATTTGCATAAATTCAGTTATACAGAGAACCTCTTTATAAGGCTCATCAGGAGTATAAAGGATATCCTTTATAAGGACTCAGTTGCCTGCCAGGAATCACGACCAAGTCCTCTGGAAGCAAAGAGAAAGTTGGATTATGGTAACATAGACTCACCCAGTGGATACTGCGCCACATGGATTTCGGGGAAGGCGCCTCCGTCACCGAAGTCAGCCTCGGTGCGCGGAATCCAATCCTTGCGCTGTCCGTACGGCGGAGCTGCGATTTTGGCGGAGACCAGGGCTCCGATCTTCGGGGCTCCGCGGGCGGCCAGGCGACGCTCGTCCTCGCGGTCCCAGACCGCGTTCGTCGGCGTGGGCAGCAGGCTCGATAGCGACATCTCGGTTGGATTGTTTTTCGTGACTTATTCCTATGTGAAACCACCTTTTTGCGTTTTGTTCCCTCGATTTGCAAGCACATAAAATACAATGGAAAAGTGGAAAAAAAACACGCACGCACACGAACACACACACACGAGCGTACGAACTGCGGCGTTGCCAGATTTCGGGGCCTGCGAAATGCTTATAAATACGGTCACACCAAGGAATGAGGTAGGTCATTTATAAGATTATTTAGCGACTCTTTATATCTGTATTTAAATGAAATTTTCTTGTACAAAAATCAAGACAGGAAACTCAATTGAAAACTTTTTAAATTGGTATAGCTATACAAAATCTATTCACCCGCCTAAGACTTTCGATACTATCGCTATCGCAGCGCAATGGTATGCGAGCAGTGCCATCGCTAACAGTGCCGTCAACAAAAATTAAAGTTTGTTATTTGGCCAAATTTACAATGTACACATTGATGCACGGCTTTTACAAGTACATGACTCAGAAGGACGACTACTGTGTGGTGATCCTGGGCCTGGACAATGCTGGCAAAACGGTAAGAGGCTAAATCAGCCGGAAGAACAACAGTTCCAGCCCAATTAACGCACCCTTGCCCACGTAGACTTACCTGGAGGCCGCCAAGACCACGTTCACGCGGAACTACAAGGGCCTGAATCCCAGCAAGATCACGACCACGGTGGGCCTCAACATCGGCACCATCGACGTGCAGGGCGTGCGGCTCAACTTCTGGGACCTCGGTGGCCAGCAGGAGCTGCAGTCGCTTTGGGACAAGTACTACCAGGAGTCCCACGGCGTCATCTACGTGATCGACTCTAACGACCGCGAGCGCATGGACGAGTCCAAGATGATCTTCGGTAATTGCAAAAAGCTCAGGGCAGAAAGCGGTAGAAAAAACTATGGGTTCGACCTTTTCCTTAAATACATTTCGGTGCATTTAATATCAGGTTATTTGATTGCTTGATAACTTTAGCAGGTTGGTTAACGTTTGCAAGATCAATATATCATCTTAAAATACAGGTGATAAACTAAAAAGGTACCAATTAAAAAAAATACCTAAAAAAAATTAAAATAAAGGTTTATATCAACAAAAGTGCAGGATTAGCATAAAAAACTTTCAAAAGCCACAGTAGATTTTGAACATTAATGTTTATTTAAAACAAGCAAGATTATATCCACAAACACTACAAGAGATAAATTGAAAAATATTTAATATTTGTGATGCCCTTTTTCAGACAAGATGATTAAGAACGAATTGCTGTCCGGAGTGCCTTTGCTTATCCTGGCCAACAAGCAGGATCTGCCGGATGTGATGGGAGTGCGGGAAATCAAGCCCGTATTCCAGCAGGCGGGCGCCTTAATCGGACGTCGAGATTGCCTTACCATTCCCGTATCCGCCCTGCACGGCGAGGGCGTCGACGAGGGCATCAAATGGCTGGTGGAGGCCATCAAACGCCACGCGGTAGTCAGGCCGCCGCGAGAAAACGATTAAACCATTGGGAAAAGACACGGGCTCATCGGCCCTCTACTGGCTTTAATTAGACTCGTATTTTTGTATCTTTAGGGCTCAGGACTACGCTTATTTGTAATTAGCCGGGGAAGATTGTGAGATACCAAATGTACATTGTTGTAAACGCGGGACACGACCGCTTTATCTTACGACAGCCTTGCAACGGCCTTAAATAGCTTTGTTTTCCGTAAACCCATATATATCTGTCATGCCAAAAGCCGCTTATAAATGACAAACCACTTTAAAAGCTACTTTTGACTTGACAGTAAATTTCAACATAGAACAGTGAATTACAAATCAAATTGTTATAATGGCGGAACATGTATTATATATTAAAGTAAACAAAAAACTACGATTTTCTAATTTTAAAAGCTAGGCCTGGCAGGAATTGTAATTTAATCTGTAAATAGTATGGATCGTACGTTGTATTTAACCCTTTCAAGAAATAAAATACTTTAAAAAATACATTGTTGACAATACAAATTGATTTCATAGTAACGAAAATAATCATTAGTCTTAGTATTTAAAAAGTATTTAATCTAGTTTATTTGCCCCCAGAAAAATATATTTAAAAATAGATTAGTATTGATTGACTAATTAGTTGTTTCTTGGAAATTATGGAAATTGGTCTACCTCAAACTCTTTGTAAATAATTACCAAAAATGGGCTTACTTGGTCTTAGATCTTAAGAATTTAACAATAACATAAAATATAAACTAATTTTTGTTGATTTGTTTCCTTCTTTTTATAAAATTAATCATGTCTTATTTTAAATCAAAAGTAATATATGTATGTATATTTTAAAGTAATTTAGGTATCTGAACCGCAGAACAGGCTAGATTAATGGGTAACTGTGGTGTGAGTGGCGATTTGCGTACTACGAAATCGGGAGAGTTACAGCTTTATCTAACAGCGCTGCGCTCGATGGCGGTTGTCAATGGGG